ACTTGATAAGTATGACTTGATAAATTATGATAAATCAAAACCTAATGTTTCCTCTTACCACATTCCTATTTCGACCATTTACGAGAAATTATCTAAACTTGACATAAAAAAAGGTCCAGGTCCTGACATTATTCCTTCCATCTTACTCAGAAATTGCAGCTTCGTATTGTCTCGCCCTCTCGTCTATATTTTCCAGATTATTGGAATCTATCTTATGTCATTCCAATATACAAATCAGGCAGCAAGTCAGACGTTAAAAATTACCGACCTATATCCAAGGTTTTTGAGAACATTATAACAGACTACCTTATGTATGACCCTTCTTGCATCATAACGGATCATCAATATGGTTTTTGTGCTGGGAAATCAACTGAATTAAATCTAGTTACCTACGTCGACTTCCTGTCGGTAGCTTTGGAGAAGGGTTGCCAGATTAATTCTGTGTACACTGACTTGTCTAAGGCTTTTGACAGGGTCAACCATTCTCTCTTACTTCAAAAGCTCGATAAATGTGGTATAAATGGGGTCATACTGCGAACAGAGCTCAAATGGTTAGAGTAAACCATCATTATTCTAACTCATTTCAAGTTACCTCAGGTGTTCCTCAAGGATCACACCTTGGTCCCTTATTATTTATAAATGGCATCATTCATTGTTTTCAGTATAGCAAAGCACTATTGTTTGCAGATGATTTAAAAGTTTTCCCAACTATTAAAACCATTTATGATGCCCTCTGGTTTCAGTCTGACCTTGATAATCTATCAAACTGGTGTTCCTTAAATGGTATGGACTTGATTGAATACCATAAAGTGCCATGTCATGCGCTTTTATGGATCCCATGTACCAACTACTACTTTTGATTATAACTTAAATGGTCATATCTTGGAGTCTGTAAATCAAATTAAAGAACTTGGAGTTATTCTAGATCCCACTTTAAGCTTCAATCAACACATACTTAAGGCTATCCATAAATCCATGAATATTTTAGGTTTTTTCAAAAGGCTAACACATGATTTTACTGACACACTGTCAATTAAATTCCTTTATTGTTCACTAGTATAACCTCATCTAGATTATTGCTCTTCCGTCTGGTCTCCACATTACATAACGCACAGCAGAAACATAGAAAATGTGCAACATAAATTTCTTAGATACATAGCCTATAAATTGGGTGTCCTTTGCAAGTATGGTTTGATAGAGCATTTTCTAAACATCCCCTCCTTGGAAACTAGAAGGAAACAGAGAGAACTGACTGAATTTTTAAAATTATCAATGGCAGATGCAGCTGTACTATACTTCTAACACAAATAAATCTTTATGTTCCAACCCGCTCAACTCGACAGCAACAAACATTATATGTGAACCTTTTTATCGTTTAAACCAACCATACTCAACCTGTGGCCCGCGGGCCGCATGCGGCCATCCAAGCTGTTTTGTGCGGCCCTCCCAAGCTTTTTTGCGGCCCTCCAAGCTTTTTTGTGCGGCTCCAAATACGATTATTGGTAATGGAAATTGTTGGCCTATAGTCCTAACTAAAACAATTTGAGGACTTTTTTGTTTAGAATATATTGTAGCCCGTGTAGCATAACAAACAGATTTATGTGGCCTGAAAGAAAAAAGGTTGAGAACAGCTGGTTTAAACCATACTTTTAGCAGCTGTATTCCAAGAATGGTAAGAATAATCAACACTCATAACGATCTTGATATATTTAACACCTCCTTTCATAAAGGACCCCGCCCTTTTCTAATGGCAAAGTGGCGTTCCGTCAAATGTAATAAATTTTGAATATGATGTTGTACTTGACTTGTTGACCAAAAGTCTTCATGGGACCAATTTAATCCTATGACTAGTTTTTAAAATACAGGGAGTTAAAGTCGAGAAATCGTATTTCTTGAAACTACGTAACTTAATTAAAAAGAAAAAAAATAAGCATTTTTAGTTGATTGTAGCATTACTATGTCCTAGTCTAACGCAAACGTACACATAAGTAGTTCAAAATGTAAACATATACAGGGTGGTACTCAGTTACATCAGGGGGAATTTTTGAAATTCTGAGATATTCTGATATGGAATGAAAACATGGTCAAAAATAAAAAATTGCATAATGTTTACTGTTCTAACATTATATAAACCCATTTTACATTATATGTATATATGATTGTTAATTCATTCCACAGAAAGGCGTTTCTTAAAAAAAAAAAATACACTCTGTATATTAGGGAATTTGTTATTAATATTGATTAGGCATTTAATACCTAGAAAACAATACTGTTTATGGAATACAGGGCGATAGACACATCTAATTCGTTTTTGATGTAGCAATAATTAAAGAATTATTCCTTTTTCAGAATCACCCTATATTTTTCAATTCGATCCGTCAAAATGTACGATCTATTAATTTTTGTTATTAGCTTTAAGCAATTAATAACTTCATATAATTTCATAATTTTAGTATGATCCGTTTTTGAGATTCCAATATATAGTGAACCATATAAAATATGGTTTTTATATAAAATGCAATGAAAACGCTAACAGAACTTCAATTTTTTGTGCATTAGGTCAAGTGGGCTTTAAAATTCATGTCAAAAGAATAATTTGACAGTTCCGAATTGTTTAAATAAAAAAATAAAATTACGTTTAGTGTTCACAAGTATTTAAATTTATTGATTTGACTAATTTAAAAATGAATTTTGAAACGAATGAATTGACTGATATTTTAGTGCTAGGGGCTAGTGATGAAAATTGCTTGTTGGCAACTAGAATGTATAAGCAAAAATATCCTGATCGCCGACAACCTCGTAAAGAAATTTTTAAATATCTATTGGAAAGATTCAAACGTACAGGTAATGTAGCATATCAAAAAAATGATAGAAAAAAACGAACTTTAAATGAACAAAATGAACTCAGTATTCTACTTAGTGTTACCGAAAATCCAAACACCAGTACACGCATCATGGAAAACGAAACGGGAATAAGTAAATCATCTGTCAATAGGATACTATTAAAAAATAAAGTACATCCATACCATATCCAACGTCATCAGGATCTTCTTGAAAACGATTTTTAAAAAAGAATAGCTTTTTGTGAATGGGCAATAGAGAGCATTAATAATGAAAATTATTTTTTTGATTGTATACTTTTTGGGGATGAATCAACATTTCGCAAAAACGGTTTCGTCAATAGACACAATTTTCATTACTATTCCACCACCAATCCTTATGAGTTAATGACACATAGCCAAACACGATGGTCTATTAACGTTTGGGGTGGTATATTAGGGGACTATGTCATAGGACCACATTTATTTCATGGTCGTGTAACTGCCGAGGTCTACTTAGACTTTCTGCAGAATCATCTACCACTATTATTGGAAAATGTTCCACAAAATATAAGACTCCGAATGTGGATATTACATGATGGAGCTCCTGTACATCATGCTTAAGCAGTTCGCAAACTTTCTGAACCATAATTTTGAAAACAGGTGGATTGGAAGAGATGGTCCAGTTATGTGGCCTCCCAGATCCCCTGACCTCACTAAAGTAGATTTTTTGTGGAGTTTCAAAAAAACCGAGGTTTATAAAACTAGTCCATTAACTAGCGAGGAAATGAAGGAAAGAATAAGACAAGTGTTCGCGAGCATAGATGCACAATGTTTGAAAAACGTTGAAAGATCATTTGAAGCTAGATTACAACATTGTATTGTAGTTGGAGGGAGTCACTTTGAGCAGCTTTTATTATAGCTTTTTTTTTCATTTTTTAATATACTAATGTTGTATTCTAAAAAAATTAAAATAACTTATTTTTGGCTCATATTTTTTTCATTCAAATATAAAATATCTTCTAAATTGTTGTGTGTAGGGATAGGGACAAACGAACGTATAACTAAAGTACTTTTAGTAGAGATATGAAATACAGGGTGAACCTAACCTTAGGAAAGTAAATTCAGTTCATAATAAATTGTAGCTGTACCTTAAAAATATAAACTGATTAAACAGTATATTTTAACAGGAGTTTAAATCAAATTACTTTGTGAATTTAGTTATAATTAACCCTTTTTACCATTTCATCTAAGAATCTCTCTATACTGTAATGTTTAGGGATAGGCAATATTTAACTCAAACGAACGTATAATTAAAGTACTTTTTAGTAGTGATATGAAATACATGGTGTTACATTTAAAAAAATTGAGAAAATCATGTGAGTTTTGACACCCTGTACACGTCTGTTGCGCTAGGAAAAAATTAGTATATTCTCATAAAAGTAGATTATCTTTAAAAATGATTCATCAAAAAATTTTGATGTTCGATTGTTTCTTTTGAAATATACAGCGGGTTTAACCTAGTACGATTTTCATATAAAATTGGTTTAAACTTCCAAAATACCCAGTATAACCTCATACATTTGGTAAGGGCAAAGTCAGGGGAATTCAAATTTACAATTAAATACAGGGTGGTCCATTTAAAAAAAACATACGTTTGATCAATTCTGAAGTTATGGATACTCTGTATAATTGAAAATAATTTTGAAATATGCAGATTAATATTATCTACAAACTTTGTAAATAACATTGTTTTCTATCATATAGGATATATCTAACTTCCACACACTATTGGGACACCCTGTATATTTCACTACATTTTACTTATAATTTAAAATTGTAATTTATTTTTCAAATGGGCTTGCCCGTAAATAAATAAATAAAAATTTAAAAAATATGTCAGGCATTTGTTCTTTCTCTCATAGTACTGATATTTTGTATATATTATTTAATTTCATTAATTTCATCCTTCTACTATTTCTAACCTCTTTGTGTCTAATTCTATTTTAAATCTCTGGATTAATCTTTTTTGATCCCATGGAATAAAATATACTTTAATGCATAAAATAAGTGATTTAAAAAAGTGTATTAAAATAGACTACGAAAAGCAAAAAAAAATTACTGAAAAGTAAATATAATTACTGTCATGTTTACTGAAATATATTTGTATGTTTGTTTCAGGCCCGTACTATGAAAGACCTTTGTGTGCCTTGGTCACCTGATCTAAACCGAAGATAATTATTTCAAGTTCAAGCCACTTTGAAAAGGTGACAACATGTTGGTCCATGCGCGAAAAGACTCGCCGCCAAACAATTTGTTTAACAATACATCTAAAAATGGAAAACCGCGAGCCCTCTTCAAAAAATCTCACACGTGCGGTAGTTTCTACGCGAAATGCGGCTGCAGTGAAAATTTGGAATTGAAAGGTGAAAATAAAGATCTTCAGTATTCCAAATCCACGGAACAGGAGCGAATTAGCAAGTTGAGTTTAGAGGAAACGAATACTCCTTCTTTGAAAAGTAAACGATATTCCAATCCAGATCTGACAAGGTAAACGAATTCTGTATTAATAAAACCAATTTTTCATTAAAAAAATATTTTCAAAAAAAAATTAAATATACGAAATGATTCATATCATTTGGCCCATTCAATAATGTATTTTTTATTTAATTTTAGACAACATTGGTAAATACTAAAGAAAAAATCTATTAAATCCAACTATTTTTATTATAATTTGAGACATGTTTATCAACATTTTTTATTAAAATTATTATTAAAAAATAAGAGATATGCACAGAACACTAAATTAAATAAGATAACAATGAATCATTTCGTTTGGCCCAACACCGGTGATTTTACCATTGTGTAACATCTTCCTGTTGCTTTTTACAATCTGCAGCAGTGAAGGAGTTTCATATTTGAGTTAGTCTTTCTTTTAATTCAGGAACTGTTCTAGAAGGAGTAGCTATTTTTTTTATATTATGCCAAAGTGTTTCAATTGGCGATAGATCGGGACTATTGGATATCCAATCTAATATCGGAATATTATTTTGCAACATCCATTCCTTTACGATTTTAGCAGTATGACACGCAGTGCCATCCTGTTGGAATATGTACTAATTATTTCTTGTTTTTAAGCTGTCAATGGATGTCATTAGACTGTCTCTGAAGATGTCAATGTCATTAACAGTCCCTTCTATGATGTGCAACTTGCTAACCCCTTGAGCCGATATGCATCCCCAAATCATCACAGAAGCTGGAAACTTAACTTTTTCACGCAGTCTGGATGATAAGGTTTCTTTTTTGTCCTCAATACCTCAAATCGTGATTCGTCACTTCAAATAACACTGTCCTATTGCATCTGTGACCACTGTTTATGATTTTTGGCCAGTTCTTATCTATTCTTTTTCTGTCTTACTGTTAACAACGGTTTTTCTTTAGTCTGCAAAAAAAAACTTCATTATTTTTTCTCGATAACATAAATTTTCGATCCTGTCGTTTTATATAATTTGACTATATTTCGTACAGTATAGCGTGATAATTGTAGTTGTTTAGTAATTTTAGCTCCAGAATTGCCAGCATTGTATAAATTGACAATAACTTGACGTAAATCGTTAGATACAGCTTTATCCCTCACCATTTTGTTAACAATACATATTTACAACTAATACCCTGGGAGGTAATTTCATTAAACCATTTTCGCAAGCTTTATTTTTTGAATATGAGTTATTTAAATAGAATCTAATAGTAAAATCGTCTTCCATTCCAGTTCTACGACAGGGGGTTGCGGGAGGGTTGCAATTCCAGTAAAAAATTTATTAAAAAAAATAATTTTCCCATGGATGAAACTTGGTGTACACGTTGATATGAACATAAAAGTATTAGAAAAAATCGTCTTTCACCTGAATTGTACAACAAACTTCGTATTCCACCCACATAAAAAGGCGTAAAAAAATATTAAAAAAAAATTATAGTCGCAGAAGTGAAACCAAGTGTGATGCTTATTCTTATAGTAAGAAAAATAAAAATAATAATCTTCCGCCAATAAAACACAACGAAGGTCGTCTTCCAAGCTGATAGAGGTGTTCTCGACATGCGGCATGCTAACAGCTAGAACGTAGTATCTTTACGTGTTCGAAAGATGATCATTGGTGTAAAATTTTGAAAGAACTATTACGAAGTTGATATTTATGTTACAAATTATTCATTCAACTACTATAACTGCACATTTTACCGTGAAAATCGAAATTTTAGTAAATAAATGAAATACGATAAAATTCTGTTGTAGATTTAAAAGTATTAATTATTTGTAATATAATTTAAAAATAATTTCGAATAGAGTATTTATAATTGCTCTAGTTAAAGTAAGTAAATTTAAAAGCACGAAACATATGTATTTTATTGGAATTTTTATTGAACTTCTTATCAATTTTTTTCAACAAATTTCAGATATACTCTGTACACTTATAATACTTTTATTATTTTACAATTGCCACATTATTCGAAATCGCAAGAACTGTTGGAATCATTGGTTTCATCGATAATAATACCGAAATCTTCCTTATCGAAACTATAGTTCTCATCGTTATCCTCTTCATCCGATTGATCCTAATCCTGTTGACTGTTCGTTTCTTAATATGCAAATATAAAAATATAACCATTTATAAATCGTCGTTTTTTTACCTTGATTTTAAGCATGAGTCCAAAGATGTAAAATATATGCTGTTCTTTTTAAATGTTTGTGCTTTACATGGTGGTAGTATTGCTTCGTCGACCATTTTTGCATTTGTATTAAATATTTTATCACCCTGATTGATTTTATAATTTTTCATAAATAGAGCCACACGAGCCTTATAGACGTTTTATTATTTTTTTTAAACCGTACATTCAGCACACAAATTCCTCCAGTACTGCATGGACTTCAGGTATATTGCCGGTACTCAATTCGTCTTTCAAAGGCATTCATGTATTTTTCAATTTTTTTAAAATATTGAATGGACGATCACAAAAAATACTAATTTGCTGGCATTATCTGAAGTTTGTAATTCTTCATCAGAATTTTTTAATTCTTCTAAGAAGAAGAAAGATGTTCATCATATTGCGAAGCTCGCTTGTCAATAGTTTTCATATTTATGTGTAGATCGACATCACTCATCTGTGGCACATGTTCAATAACATGAGAACATTCGTGTGAATGTACACTGCAAAGTAATAATTTTAATATTTAAGATACTTATAGTAATACCGAAAGAGTATAACGACAATAGGTAGATACAGGAATCTTTTAAAGCAGATTTTTTGACCAAAAACAAAAACAGGTCGATTTTTCCAAGCGGACGTCTTTCTAGGATATATCTTCAACTGTCATACATCATTCCCTTCTTCTCTATTATTTTAACCAATTTTTTAAAGCAAAAATACCAACTATGATAAATCATTAAAAATGTAATTTTATGAAGAATTCAGCAATATGATTGGCCATTGCGTTACTTTTGATTTTAATGTCCTCAAGCGGGCTAGGGAACGGTCTCGTATTGTATGTGACAGTTCATTTGAAAGCAACTTTTATTAGTAATTCACAATAAAACAAAACATAATAAAATGAAACATGAATTTAAATAATTTAAACTCCTTTTATAGCTCTAAAATTCAAAATAACAAATTTATGCTACATATTAAATTTCTATTGAAATTAGCTTTCAAACTGTCACACTTCACACTACGTGACAGTTTTCATGTCGCTACAGAGCGCTAAAATCAAAAGTAACGCCATAAATAATTTTATTGCTGAATTCTCCATAAAATTACCTTTTTAATGATGTATCATTCTTGGTACTTTCCCTAGTTAAATTGTATTTGTTAAAGTGATGGGGGGGGGAGAATGACGTATGATAGTTGAAAGTATGGTAGAAAGGTGCCTGCCTTGGAATAAAAATCGATTTGTTTTTGGTTATTTGTCAAATAAATGTATTATGTGAGCCATTTCATTATTCAGTCATGCTCTAACCCTCCAAGTCCCTCTCTGTCATATTTGGCCTTTGAGGCTCAACTTGTCCGATTAATATACATAATTAAACCCCTTAAGACCAAACCTATGTGACGACTATGGCGGAGGTACTTTCGCGAACATTCCAGAGTCAACGGGATACTATTTCTAGTCTATTCCAAATATAACGTGATAATGTTTCTAATTTTTGGCGAGAACGTTCTAGAACCTGAAGGAACCTTCACCATAATTTTAACTTGGTATATAAATATTGGTGGAGAATAACGCTGTATCAGTTATTATATGGACAGTGAATTTAAATAGTGAACAGTTTAGAGACATTCGAAATATATATAAATTGAAATAATAGTATTAAAAATAAATAAGTGTTTAAATAAATTAATAATAAATAAACTGTTGTTTAAAATAAACAAACATCACATTGGTGTCAGAAGTGGGATAGTGTAAATAAATAGTGGACAATCATTCGTAAAAAAACGTGTGATTTAAAAGTGGCTGAATTGCGTCGAGAATTAGAAGATCGTGATCTGGAGACGACAGGGAAGAAAGCAGAGCTGGCAGAACGTCTTAAGGAAGCACTGAAAAGTGAAGGTTTGGATCTGGAAACGTATCTATTTTCCGATGCTGCGTCTTCTATAATTTCTTCTTTGGAAAGTAAAATGTCTTCTATGGAAAATAAATTTTCTTCTAATATTTCTTCTTTAGAAACTAAAGTTTCTTCCAATGTTTCCTCTATAAAAAATGATATTACTTTCAAAGAAAGTAAAATTTCGTCCAATATTTCTTCCTTAGTAGAAAAGGTGTCTTCTGACATATCTTTAAAAACCGAAATATCTTCCGACTTGGAAAACAAAATGTCTTTTTTGAAAAATGAAATTTCTGCTGATGTGGAAAATAAGATGACGTCTGTTGAGAATAAATTAATGTCTTCCGTTGAGGAGAAAATAAAAGAGATGGAAAAGAAGATAGAAGAACTGGAACATGCAGACCCGGCCAAGGACGTTGAAATAAAGTGCCATGAGGTAGAGTCGAAGTTGAAATTAGAAGGAGCTGTAAATTCTCCTCGTGTTAAAGCCCCAACTTTTGACGGGAAGATGTCTTGGACGAACTACCTTAAGCAGTTAGAAACAGCTGCTAGAGCAAACGAGTGGTCTGAACGAGAGAAGGCAATAAATTTGACCATCGCCCTTCGAGGAAACGCTTTGGATATCCTTCAGACTATACCCGTGGAAGAGACAGATGATTTTGAACAACTCATAAAAAGACTAAATATGCGATATGGCCACGAACACTTGGAGTAGGTATACAGATTACAGTTGAAGAATCGCAAACAGAAACGTGACGAGAGCCTTCAAGAATTTGAATTAGATATTGCGAAGATGGTGCGATTTGCCTACCCGTCAGCTCCAGAAAACATGATGGAATGTTTGGCTGTTCAAACATTTGTAGATGGACTTCGTGACAATAAAATGCAAAGAACACTTCGTTTAGCCCGTCACAAAACATTGGTCGATGTCTTGTCCGCTACTCTTGAATATGAAGCGGCTACCCTGGCTTCTGGTGGATACAGTGAAGTAAGGACTCTAAAAGAAGAACAGGGAAATAAATTGGACCGATTGTTTCACATGATAAAAAGCCTTATTGAGAAGCAACCGAAGACTATTAGGTGCTGGAATTGCGGTGAAATGGGAAACGTAAGCAGTTCGCGCAAACGTCCAAAGAACACTACGAATCGAAAAACTGTACCGGTGGCTGTACAGGAAGGAACGGTGTTACCTGAAAGTAGTGAAACCATACGAGTAAGGCGGTTGCAAGGACCTATAGAGAAGGCAACGCCTGCCATGGCGGAACCTTCGAAGCGCAATGAAGGTGTTGGTCAAGGAACTCTGATTGGAAAGGGGTTGGCCACATCTGTTAAAAAAGTTAAAGTACGAAGAACGTCGGTTATCAGAGATGAGTGGGCCCCTGTCAAACTTAGGGAAGAACAAGAGAACGATCTCGTTTTAAAGAAGATAAGAGAATGGAAAGAGGAAGATCGTCGACCTACTTGGCAAGAAGTATCGAAACTCTCTCCAGCAGTTATATCATATTGGGCTCAGTGGGAGTCCTTTATCCTGGAAGATGGCTTATTAAAGTGAGTACTTGAAAATTATGATGGTTCCGAGAACAGAAGACAGTTGGTCATTCCAGCTTTTCAACATTGTTTGTTTTTGACCAAAATAAAAGGTTATTTTCTTTCCAATAAATTTACAAAAATCCATGTTGACATTGGAAAATTCAGTTTATTTAAAATTTATAATTTTATTCTTCTTGTTGAATAATTTTGACCAAATATGAGATTGAATAAGTTTTGACTAAATTTGAGATCATAGATAATCTATCTTAATTACTTTTATTATTGCAAAACAGAAGTAAAGTGAAAAAGTCATATTAAATTCGTTATTCGTCATTACAGGAACCTGCAAAGTTTTATAGCTATTTACTTGGTTTCATACTTGATCCCAACCGTGTATATTGAATATATTAAAAATAACTGAAGGATAAAATAATGTTGATGTTTTGTGTATTTTTGGACTTAAGTTTTTGAAAAATTTCACTAATAATTTATTGTTTTTACTTAAAATATTTCCATGCTTTAATACCCAGGCCTACAATAAATGTTATCTTTATTATGTATTATCTAAGTAATACCTGTTGTTTTTCTTCTTTTATACAGGGTTGCCACTTTTTTAATGGGATTACATTAGTAATTCCCAAACCATACTAGTTAGAAAGTCGGTTAAATGGAGAAAAAGTTGCGTATCTCAAAGCCTATTCTAGCCGTGAAAATTAATCGAAAATAGCAGGCCCGGTTTTAGAGATATTTCGATAAAAAGAAATTCGATCTTTTCGGTTTTTTGGTTATCGTTCATTTATTTTCAGAACTACTAAAAATCTTTTAAAAGTTTTTTATTTGATAGTAAATTTTCTTTGATTTGACGTTCTCATATTTTGCATCAAACGTTTCGTATTCTCCGGACCACCCTCAGCTTATTTTTTTTAAATATGGACCTGGATATTTTATAACATTATTTGAAATAACTTTTCATCCTGCATCCAGCGGTGTATTACATTCAATGACGGTTTTTGGGTAATATGGACCGTAATCCAAATTTTATTGGTACGGATCTGTATTGATTTTATAATCAGTGTATAATACTTCGAACATAAAGTGATTAATTAGGAAAAAATAAATGAAAGAATCCAAGAAGAAGAAATAAGCAATAGCATAAAAAATCTGAATATCTGAAGAAGATGGCGGACATTTTAAACAATTACTCAACAGTGGCGGTTTGCCCATAAAGGCACTTGGATAATAAACAAAAAAAATAACTTACATATTTTATATTTTCCTCAATGCCTATTATTATTTTATCTAATATTCAGCGCAAACCGGGCGTTGAGCGACGTTCCGAAGATGGGCACAGGGCACAGTAAATGTGTGCCTCTGTTGTTTTTTCTCTCATTATGATGCGAAAAACAAGGACAACCACAATATCGCTTAGCAAGAGATGAACACATGCGATGGATTATACGTCACAAACAGGGCGCTGTCCCAGATTAACCTACACCAGATACGAATGTACGCGGCGGCAATAGCCTAGAGCTCCCACCACTTTCTTCCTAGATCCAGCGGAAGAAATAGTACAGATGATTGCGTTGGCTCCACTTTTAGCAGAGCTTGAGCTTGCGACCGTTAAACGTTTAGTCCGACCGCCTAGGTTACAAAACATCGCCGAACTTGTGAATTTGTGAAATTTATTATGACGGGATATAAATTTGTAGATGTTGTACATCTAAAAATAGAGATGGCGAAAATTTTAATTTTTCTTTTGGTTTTTTCTGACTTTTTCGAGGATTTCAAATCTCTGTTTGCATATTTAAGAGTATAAAAATAATTTAACGGTGTACATTTTTGCAAACTGTTGGCAAGGATGACCAAATTCTATTTTGCTTATCTCAAAAAGGTATGCGCTGGAAATTCCAGGCTTAGTTCACAAACTATCAAATAGAGATATAAATATTTTTTCTAATTTGAAAATATAAAAGAGAAATTTTTCGCTGGGAGATTTTAAATTGCCAAACACCTTTTCTTCAGAGTCGTATGATTTAAAATGTGTTAACAAGTTAGAATTGTTAAGTAAATTGCATTTTTCTGAGAAATGTACGCAAATTTCGCAAGAGTGGATATGTAATGATTTTTTGATTAAATAGCCACATACATAGTTAAATGCATTTTAAGTGGTCACATTTAGCTCCCTGTAGTCACATTTAGAAATCGTTATTGCCCCAACTGATTGTTTTGAAATATATTTAATTTTCATTAAGTGAAGAACTTGTTTATCTAAGGGAAAAACGAATCCCGGGATTCCTTTCCAGTGTGTGCCCCACTGCCGCTAGTGCCCACGAGCCGCCACTGTTACTCAATTAATTTTATTGATATTTTCAAATAATTTGATTATGACTTACAAAAACTGAATTTCTTCTTATTATCAGTAATTGCGTTTTAAAATTTCTACATTACTATTGTTGTTGATGAATTGTTTAATTTTCGGAGAATTACATAAATTTTGTAAGAATTGACTTTATTTTTATCTAGAGGCATGACATTATGTCGATTCAACTAAAGAAGGCTGAAACCAGGAGTAAATTTAATAAAATTTGGATTACGGTCCATATTACCCAAAAACCGTCATTGAATGTCATTGTGTAATACACCGCTGGATGCAGGATGAAAAGTTATTTCAAATAATGTTATAAAATATGCAAAATATGAAAACGTTAAATAAAAGAAAATTTACTATCAAATAAAAAACCTTTAAAATATTTTTTGGTAGTTCTAAAAATAAATGAACGATAACCAAAAAACCGAAAAGATCGAATTTTCTTTTATCAAAATATCTCAATTTTCGATTAATTTCCACCGCTAGATTATACTTCGAGATAGGCAACTTTGTCTCCAGTTAACCGACTTTCTAACTAGTATGGTTTAGAAATTACTAATACAATCCCATTAAAAAAGTGGCCACCCTGTATACTATTTTCGTATCGTAAAGTTATTAAATTAACTTAAAATAGTCCCTTACACCTATTAAAAAGTTGATTTTCAAATTTAAATAAAAAAATTATTTCTTCAGGTATACGAAAAGTGCAGAGGTTTGTCTTTGTCCGAAATTGCCGAAAGGATCTAACGTTGTAAAAACAAATGTATACTTAGAGCATCCAGAAATAAGTTTTCCAATTCCAGTAGAATTACCTGCCGAATGCTGTGATAAATGTTCGCACCTAAGTAGATCTCCACCACCGAATCTCCATCCCGAATTAAAAAATAAATTAGACTATCACAAATACACTGCCTTGACCTACGAAGGCCAGTCAGTTCAAAAACAAGACGAAGCTCAAAAATTCCTCCAAGATTTCGGTATCCTCCAACCAACACCGATGGGTAACGGTGTTTCTAGTATTAGAAAAAGTTCCGTGGATGGAGAAGTTATACAAAAAATCCAAAGGACTTCCAAACACATCGAAATCAAAAGGCAGAGCATAGCAGACCACGAAGATTATGAATATCTTAAATCTATTGTAGCAAAACTAAAATTTGAAATATTGGAGTTAGAGGGAAAGTATGAGGCCACTCATACAGAGTTAGTGGATGTTAAGACACATTTGAATAATAAAGAAGCTCAAGTTTTGAAGTTGCAGCGAGAGGTGCATAAACTCAAGGTAATCCAAAATATTCTGTATTGTAATAGTATATTGTGCAACAAGAGTAGGAAGTAACCTTTTCTATATTATGTATCAAAGTCGTAGCAAAAGCGAATGCAAAATATACAATCACACGAGTGTAGAAGAGGTTTTTCGCTTGAGTAGCATAATATATTTTATTTAATTATTTATTTAGTAATTTACGGGGTAATACCTATTAACATAATTACAGTAAGGTATTTAAATTAATATATAAAAATATTAAAAGATATACAGTGAGGAACAGCCAAATGGAATAAATTTGGTAATAAATAAATGGGGGCTTGTTCGGAAAACGCTCGGACACGTCGATTGGTATTTTTAGTTCCGCCTTTTTTTTAACAAACACTTTTTATTCAGGGTGTGTCATCTAACAGTGACCAATACCAACTTTCTTATTTAAAATGCAACGCCCTGTATATTTTTCAATTTTTGGATTCTTCAGAAAATTCTAGACATATTTTCTGTACTATGTCCTATACCTAACTGTTTCGGAAATATTAAATGTTTTCCGATTTATTGCAAAAATTAACAATAAAATAAAATTGTTTGATTACAGAAATTCGCTACACACTCAATTCTTATTTCCCGTTTAGGTTCTGATGATGAGAAGCAAAAACCATTTCAGCGTTTTATTTTACTGATATGAAATAAAAAAGCTATACTTAAAGTTTTGTTTACTTTTGTATAAAACGCCTGACCTTAGCAAATTGTTATCTGACTGCATGACTAGGGTTGCCAACCGTCCAGCATTTCGGTGGACGTCCACCATTTGGAGTGCATTGTCCTGTATCTTACAACAACGTATTGCAGGACGCTATTGTATATGGAGGAAGGATTATAAAGAGTTGCCGTTTCTTTGTAGAAATTTGGCAACATGTTTGCTTGCAACGACCTGTGGGGGTGGAGGAGTAGAACTAATCTTACTCTGTCGGTAATGTAGTTACCAGCAGTATTACCATCAACTCTTACTCTGTTGGTAATGCAGTTATCCGTAATTTTATATTTAATTTGAAAATTGGCGGGTTTTTTTAAAGGAGAATTTACTTTTGCAATTATTTTCTAACTAATACGAAATATAGCCATACAAAATTTTTATAGTAATTTTTTTTAATTTTTTAGTGAAATAAAAAACATGTACGTGTAGCTAAAATATGTTCCTCTGGAGCCACTTTTTCAAAATTTAATCAAATTTTGATGGCAATAAATCGCAAAATTTTGTTTTTATAAAGATTTCAAAAATTGAGAAAATAATTAAATCAAATTTCGGAATAGTGGCTCCAGAAAAACAGACATTTCACTTTTACCTGAAGGTATATATTTTTCATTCGCTAAAAAGTAAAATTAAACTATAGAAATATTTGTGGCTCTATTTCGTATTGTTTAAAAGAAGATAATTGCTTAAGTACATTTTCCTCTTAATTATAATTAAAATTTTCCTTTTTTATTAGCTGTTTGTAACAATTACACAATAAAAATGTAAAATTCTATGACAAATAATTATGAGGGATAAAATAAATACCATACAAAGTTTTATATAATTATACTTACTAAAAATTCCCAAGAAAAATAAATAAAAAATATATCAAAGAGATGGCAATACAAAAAAATATTTTTCATGCACTTCACCCCCATACAAGCGAGCTTATGCGAAGCAAGAATGTCTATTATTATTATTATTATTATTATTATTATTATTATTTACTATGGCGCTCCCGGACGTCTTATAAATGATTCTTTAAGAAAGTTACTCTAATATCACAAACATTACATTACTATTTCGGTACGTTAACTATCTTTGGCTAACAAAAATCAGAAATTGCATAACAAATAATTAATTTACTTGATATGAAAACTAATGCCTAAGTAAATAAATGTTTAAAATAAACAAAAAATAAAACAACAAATTCTTCTTGAATCTTAGGAAATCAGACAAAAGCAACCATCCATATAAACTGAAACAGAAAAAAATTAAATGCAGTAACTTCAACTCATTTTGTTTATCTTTTAGACATTGCAGCAGCCCTCATACTATCATTATAATACTTTCTTATTATTAATAGTAGACAAGTTTCAACTAAATGAGAAAAATGTTTTATGTTCTTTATATGTAAACCAGAGACGGCTTGTGGCCTAGTCTGTGAGGAAGCTGGCTCATCCTATATACTTTATACAAATATATATTTCTATTAGAATACAATGTAATATTTCTGCTTTTTGAATTCTTATAGACATATATTTTTATTAAGTATATAGGGTGTGCCTTTTAAAAGTAGTCTCCTCATAGACTAGGCCACGAGTCGCCTCTGATGTAAACCATTTAAAATCAACATGGTCTGGCAAAAAAGTTTAATTTTTTGAATTATGTTGTCAATATGACCCAAAAGTTGTGAAACTATTTCAAGAATTTTTGAAAGAAATTCAATAACATTTCTTTGTACATAAATAAAACGTCTTTTATCATAATTTTCTTTAAAATAAGTAAAAGTATCGATGGTCTTCTAACATGTCTGTAAATTAACTTTACACTCTTTGCAGTCAAAACTATTAAGTTTCTTAATAAACCCTGCAACATAACTAGTGGCCTGAATTCTGCTTCATTTATTAATTTTGTATATATTATTAAAATGAACTTTATCCTCACAGGACTCTGGAGGTGTGATAACAATATTACTAAGTACTACTATCTTTGGTGTATCTGGTGTATCTGGTAAAGCAAATCTTTTAGCAGTCTTGAACGATTTTGTGTTTGTAAACAATTTTGTATCAAAATATGATTTTCACATAATGTATAATGATTGGGGTTGTAAGTGGAATGTTTAAAATACGACACCATTCCGTTCTTTGATCAATATCAGAAGGAAATTTAAAAATGTTTGTTCTTAAAATTTACGTTTGGAATGGGCCTTATAAAATGTACTATTACAATTAGAAATTATGCGTTTATAATGAATTATGCCTGGTAAAGACATGTTAAAGCATCAAAATACCTTTACTTGATTTTAAATAATCCTAAATAACTTATATCTAAAAAAATAAAAGTAGTTCCACTCACATGTTTTCGTCGACGACGTCGACAACCAAATCATAACATAACCGCACATTTGTTTGATTTTGATGTTATTTGTTGACAGCGCGCGCGGGGCCCGCTATAGCGGGCAGCCAGCAGTCATGCAGCGGACAGAAAGTCATCTTCACAAAGTACAAATAACTAAGTGAAGGTATGTTTTTTTTAGTTTGTTGTAATATATGAATTAAAATTTTTGAAACAACACTTTTTGTGTGTTACTGAACGAGATGTTATTAAATTAATCAATATGCTTTACATTTTAATACAATTTTGCTATTGTAAAACGGACTTCAGAGCACCCAAGCGCGGAGGAGTATGCGCACAAACGTGTTTACGTATTGTAAATATGATATAAACCCCCGTGCTATTGTACTTAATTCCAGTGTTCCAAATAACATCTTCAATGTGTTCAGTTTCGCGGACTGATGCGCGTAATCGATTGATTGAACACATATCAAGAGCAAACTTCAAATAAATATTAATTATTATTATACATTTAAAGAATTTTATAATTTTGTAAAAAGTAACAAGAAATTAATAATAGCTGCAAAAAATGAACAAAAATTATGTTAAACACAGTGACACCGTAAAGGGGCATACAGACATAACGGGCCGGACCCGGGCAAACAACGGGCTCAGGTTCGTCAGCTTTGTACAGTGTCGGTGTCGTATACCTACCGTGAAATGGAAAGCAACGGGCCTACCACACGCCGGGCTATAAAGGATCGAAATAGGCCCGATTTATTTCTATCGCACGGTAGACACGACACCGTACAAATTTAACGAACCTAGGCCCAGGGGCCCAATTCTCGAAACATGCGTTAACTGCCGCATGCGCTAAGTAACGCATGGTCGTTAACGCATACGACAGCAATTTAGTATTCCTGAACACCATGCGATAATCGCGAATCAAGTCGAACGTGTTAACGAAGAGTCTTTGATTATTGCATAGTCTTAAACAATGAGGATTGAGAATACCAAAGATGGTATCACTGAATATGAGATAATTGCATTGACACATGTCAAAATTGCCAAAAATTATAAAATTAAATGGATTGGATGTCTAATAATTTTTGGTTTTTAGACGTTTTAACTGTGATTATTTGTATTTTGGACTTGAGAATTGGAGTGGTTTAGATTTAGAATATTAAAAATGGAACAGCGTGGTTCACGAATAACGGAAAAATTGCGTGAAACTTTAGTAGAATTTATAACATTGTTTAGTGCCTGTAAAACTCATATTTCTTCTATATCATCCATACTAAATAAAATAAACCAAAATAAAGTGGCACCTAAACGTCCAATAAAAGAGTTCACGGTACAAAAAGTTTCATTTTTATATTCTAATAAAATGTTCAATAGAGTCAAATTAAAAATAAATATTTCCCAATAATAAATCACAAAACAAAACCAATAGATAGAAACACGAATCACATATGATAAAGCAGGATTAATTGACAATTATAACCTCACTTTCACCTAAACGAATGCGACAAAGTAGTTGTAGAACGGTCATGAGCGCTCTTTGAAAATCATCATTTCTTAGCGCATACGTTAATAAATTTGACGAATGCCGCCAGTTCAGGAATACACTTTCATCAAGTCGCATACGTTATCGCATGCGATAAGTTAACGAAGGCGTCAGGAATTGGGCCCCTGGCCAACAACGGATGTAGGTTCGTCAGATTTGAATGGAGTCGTATACAGGGTGTTCTATCTCAGACGAGCCACCCCGTATATTTCTTATCTCATAGTAATTGGAAAAATTTCCCGAAACACATCGGATGATTTTCTTTGGGAGACATCTTTTGACGTATATTTGAAGTTTTAACGAGCAACCCCCTATGAGGGGGCGCCTCAACCCCTCAAAATTGAATAGGGAAAAGGGGTTGAGTGATACTTCATTTGA